ACCAAGTTGGGGAGCATGTCTAGCTTCACCTCCTCACTCCTTGCTCCACGTCACTTGGTTCTGCAGGACTGAGGGAAAAGGAAACGGTGTCAGCTAAGGGCTAGCGTGCCCCCATCACATCTGACTCTTTTCCAGAGTCCTCTATCCCACTCATCCACCAGCAAAGGCCAGAGAAGCCCCCAAGGTAACCCCATGGGTTCGGTGGCCACTCTGGCTTGCACCTGGAGGAGAAGGGACTGGATTGCCAGGGAAGTCCCAGAATAGGTTTGATTTATATTGAAATAAAATATATGCCACATGAAGCCCATGGTTTCATAAATATTACTATTAATGTCAAAGTTAAGTTGAAAAAGGGGGAAAGACAAAAAGAAAGATAATTATTATATTTTATTTTATTAAATAATTATATTTTATTTTATTAAATAAAATAAAAATACAAATGGTACCAGAGTATTTGTTCCTGGTCTGTCTCTCCTAAAGGCAGCTCCATACAGCAGGAAATTTTGTCTGTTATTTTTTCGTCTCCATTTTTGCCCCTGGTGCTTAAAACAGTGCTTGACACATAATAGTTGCTCAATAAATATTAGTTGAATGAATGAATAGTAAAAGTTAAGAAAATCACACTCAGACATCTGAATTTGGGAAAATGATTAATTAACATACATAAAACTCTCAGCAGTGCCCAACACATAGGAAGTGCTCAAAAAATCTTCATGAATATGCTTATGATTATTATTTAAAGATACAACACATAGGCATTCTGGCCAAATGCTTATGTGCCCATAGCTTAATATCATCATCTTAGAATGAACTTCTGAGATATAAAAAAAAATCTGAAAATGTATTTAAAGTATATTACTGTCATAATTTTATTACCCACAAAGGTCAAGGGCAACTCTTCTGAGTTGACACTTCAGATAATTTCTCCACTTTGTCAGCAGCCAGTGTTCAATTACAGTCAATAAATGCCTATGGCAGTTCTAAAACATAGCCCTAAATTTTCTGATTAGTCTCCCATCATGAGGTGGGGGTCTGTCTCTGTCTCCCCTCCTTGAACCTGAGCAAATTTGTGATTAGTTCAACCAACAGAGTAGAAAAGTAGTGAGGCTGGGCTGTGAAAGGCAGCATTTGCTAGTATGTTTACTATGGAGCCCTGAGCTATGTGAGCAGTCCGCATGTCCTGAGGCAGCCATGCTGGGCGAAGGCCAAGCTGCTTGGACAGACCAATGCTTTGATGGTTCCAGCTGAGCCCCGCCGCTGAGCCATTCCAGCCCAGGCACCAGACCTGTGAGTAAAGCAACCTTTTCACCAAGTCAGTCCACCCCTTAGGACAGTGGTCCCCAAACTTTTTGGCCCAGGGACTAGGATCAGGGGGAAGCAGTTTGGGGATAATTCAAGCACATTACACTGATTGTGCACTTTATTTCTATTGTTATTACATTGTGATATATAATGAAATAATTACACAGCTCACCATAATGCAGAATCAGTGGGAGCCCTGAGCTTCTTTTCCTGAAACTAGATGGTCCCATCTGAGGGCGGTGGGAGACAGTGACACCCAAAGTGTGTTGCTTAAGTCCAGTCTCCACCATGATCTTGTTTGGTTGCTGTCACTGCAGAAAACCCTGCTTCACAAATACAGGATGTTGGAAACAGAAGTAGGCTTTTCAGTATTTTGTGGCAATCCTGAGACACTCTGCTTTGACTTTAATCCAGAATGTATGGATATTTGAAGTCTTCAACATACTTTTAAGGCCACTTTCACTTCCAATCTCAAGTGGTAACGCAAGCTATGGGGAGCGGTTGTAAATACAGATGACGCTTCACTCTCTTACCCACTGCTCACCTCCTGCTGTGCAGTCCAGTTCCTAACAGGCCATGGACTGGAACTGGCGCATGGCCCAGGGGGTGGGGACCCCTGCTTTAGGACTTCTAGCTGAAGACCTGGACATCATGAAGCAGAGTTGCCCCTGCTGTCACCCCTCTGACTTTCTGAACCACAGAATCTGCATAATGAAATGGTTGTTATTTTACACCACAAAGTTTGGGATGCTTTGTTATGCAGCCTAGAACTGGGACAGCTGCTCACTAAGTAACTGTAGGATTTAAATAGTATTACTTTTTCTGCAGAAACTAAAATCCATTCTCTCCTTACAGCCCTATTTGAACATTCAACAATAATTACTTCTGAATACAGAATTCATGGCCATGATAATCATTGTTAATTATGGTGGCAATTTACTTGCAGAAAAACTATGGTAGAAAAAAAATAACTGTATATTTCTCCTTCGATTTGACTGGGAGAATGCCAACTTATAAACCACATATGGAGCTTTCCATTCCAAGTTACATCCAGAAGGCTTTCTAAATTTGAAAGTGAATACTCAGATATAAACACTCACCATGAGTGCAAAGCCTTGCTCGTATCCCTGAGGTGGTTACATAAATTGGGCCAAAGATAAGATGGGCCAAATATTTCTGGCTCAGAGATACACAGCAATGACATGGAAGAAAGAGTTTTGATATTTGATCTTTCTGAAGACCAAGATCCTGGCAGAGCTTCAAAGCAACCCTGTGATTGTTATTAATATTTTTCTAATATCTGCGTGACTCCTTGAGTGGATGGCAAGGTTTAGTGAGAGCAGAAGGAGAAACTGAGGCTTACCTACCGCTGGCCAACAAAGACTGCTGATTGGCTGTTGAATAACTCAATCTCCCCAACCTCTTCTCCCCTCCAAAAGAAATGATGCAGGCAAAACCCAGAATGACCTCCTGGTTAACAACTTCCTAGAGGATGATCTATAGGTTTTTAATGTCCAGATTTCCAACCAGATCCCCTAGAATCAGACTACATCCCCTCAGGCTGCCCAGGGTGGGAGTCCTACCCTGGGACTTCAGTCCCACCCAGAGCAAGATCGTGTCTTCTCAGACTGGCCCCCTCCCAGCCAGAGTAAGCTGTGTCCCCTTCAACCCCCCAGGACACAGTCATATCTCCTCAGAATCTCCAAGGTAGACCATGTTCTCTCAGAGCTCCCAAACTTCACAAAACACATGTACAGTACATTTTTCAACTGACAATGATAAAGGAAAATTTATAGTCCCGTCCCTGTAATTCAAAACATTTTAAACAAGCAATGTGTGAATCAAGTCTTGAATTATATCTCCAATATGGTGGGTAGAACAGCGAGCACAGCCACACACAGATGTTCGGAAAACTGTGTGGAGATGTGGGGTCAGGGCATTCCTGATGGACAAAGCAATGGTGGGGATCACCAGATCCTAAGGGTCTGATCCAGGGAGAAATGCTTGGAGCATTTTCCAAGTAAATAGTCTGTACTCATTGGAAAAGACCCTGATGCTGGGAAAGACTGAGGGCAGAAGAAGAGGGTGAGAGGATGAGATGGTTGGGCGGCATCACCGACTCAACGGACAGGAGTTTGAGCAAATTGTGGGAGATGGTAAAGAACAGGGAAGCCTGGCATGCTGCAGTCCATGGGGTCGCACTGAACGACTGAACAATAATGTTATTTGAAGGGACTTTTCTGTGTCTATTTGTGTTTTAGGAAATTGCTTGGGGACTTGTGGTTGATGGGCAACACATTTAATTTTTATCATGGGAAAATCATGGGAAACAGGCATCTAGTGGGTGTTTTCCTGCAGAGCATCTGATGTCCAGCAGCACATGGTCAAGCCTAACCAGGAAGCCCCATAGTTTAGGAGCAGTGGTGCCCCCTGGTGACCATCTGGGTGCCCCCCACCAAGATCTGTCAATACTTCTGTGCAGTGGTACCCAACCTTTTTGGTACCAGAGACCAGTTTCATGGAAAATAATTTTTTCATACCTAGGATGGGGAAGCTGGTTTTGGGATGACTCCAGCACATTATATTTATTGTGTACTTTAAGGAAATGGCAACCCACTCCAGTACTCTTGCTTGGAAAATCCCATGGATGGAGGAGCCTGGTAGGCTACAGTCCACAGGGTCTCAAAGAGTCAGACACAACTGAGCGACTTCACTTCACTTATTACTATTATTATTACATTGTGATATAATCATAATGCAGAATCAGTGGGAGCCCAGGGCTTGTTTTTCTGAACTCAGGCAGTGACGCGAGCAATGGGGAGAAGCTATAAACAGATGAAGCTTCACCTGCCCACTGCTCACCTCCTACTGCAAGGCCTGGTTCCTAACAGGCCACGAACTGGTAATGGTCTGTGGCCCGGGGCTTGGGGACTCCTGCTCTAGGGAACAAAGTGGGTCCAAGGGGAAGCTGAAAACAACGTCCAGCCCAGATGAAGAGGTGAGGGGGATGTCTCAGGCTGTGTTCACCGGGCATGGCACACCTGCCTTCTATCCACAGGGTCGTTTCCCATGGAGATCCACAGTAGATGTCTTTTTTTTCTAACTGGGTATCTACAACCATTTTTTTCCCCCCAGAAACAGCACCCCATTCTCCTCTGGAGAAGCCCTTACACTCAGGTCATGTAGTTCTTGAGGGTCAAACCTCCTCCCCACCCCAATGTATAGGTGCCCAGTGATCTGATGAGGGATGAGCATATGGGCCAAATCTGTCCAGGGAGAGCCAGGCCTGGGACTTTTTTGCTACAGCTGATGAGAAAGAAGCATTCTTTCTCTACTGAGACCACCAAGTGGTCCACGGCATATAAGCTTGGAGTTTCGGTGGGTTGGGGGGGGAAACATCTCTGTCTCGAGTTGTAGAGGAGACTGCTTGAAAATGAAGCAGACACAGAGAAAAGCAGATGTGAGACAGGAAGTGAGGCACAGTCCTGAAAAATGTTTGAGCAGCTGGATGGAGACGAGAAGCCAGAGGCTCCAGTGCATTTTTAGTTAAGTGAGCCAATTAAGATCTTTTCTGTTAAGCCAGTGGGAACTGGAGGATTATGCTCCCTGCCTTGATCCATGCCAGGCCCTAACTGCTCTCCTCCATGAGCCCAAAATGTCCTCTTTTGCTGCTTACAGTTGCACACTAAGAGACCACATTAATCAAAACCATCTTTATTATTTAAAGAGCATCCTGTCATCAGGAGCACAAGATGGGGGGGTCCCAGATGGCAGAAGAATATTTACATGGGGGGCAGGAGGGTGGTCCCAGGGCTGAGTGGGCCCGCCACTGTGGAGGACCTTGGAGGGAAGAGTATCCTTGGACCTGTGGGCTGGGCCCAAGAAGAAAAATGTTCCATCCCTGGCCCAGGGTGAACCCCATCACGTGGGGCTGGGGCCCCTTAGATCAGCTCGGGCCCCGGAGGCGTGCACAGCGAGGAGAAGCCACAGGTCAGAGCTGGGTTACCATGCCGCTGGCTTCGGAGTGAGTCTGGGGAAAGACAACTAGGGGCTTCCCCCAACGTCCCACAAGTGCCCACCCCTCCCCAGGAGCCCCATGAAAGCCATCCGTTCCCTAGGGTGACCCTTCTAAGCCCTATAGGTTTCCAGAAAACCCTGCCTCCCTTTCCCGCTCAGAGTCCCAAACCCTCCCGCCCTCTGGCTCCCATCTGGGCTCAAATTTCACCTTTATGGCCTGGAAGATCCACTCCCGGAAGTCACTGACTTTGGTGTAGACGCCTGGCTTCTGGGCCAGGGCACAGCCGGTGCCCCAGCTCACGATGCCACACAGCCGCCAACGTGGCGTCCGAGAGATGCTATCCTCACACACGAAGGGGCCACCACTGTCACCCTAGTGGGGGATAGAAGGCCTGGCTGGAGGCCGAGACAGCTGGCCAGGAGGCCCTTTTTGGAGGGCCAGGGGCTGTAGTCATAGAGCCCTCTGGCCCTGAGATAGGGAGCCCGACCACCCAAGGCCCTGTGTCTCCATCCCTGGGGAGGCCGGGGCCCCGGCTGCCCCACAGCATCCCTCACCTGGCAGGCATCAATGCCACCCTCAGGGTAGCCGGCACAGAACATCTTGGGCTTGATCTGGTTCCCGTAGTAGTCGGGGCCGTTGCAGACATCATTGCTGATTATGGGGACTCGGGCCTCCTGGAGCACCCCAGCCTGTTGGCCTGGGGGTGTGCGGGCAAGGCTGGCCGAAGCTGGGGAGCATGCACACCCCCTCCCCTCCCCTCCCAGTGCCCACCTGGGCTGCTCAGTGTTCCTACACCCTTGGGGCCAAGAGGCACTGGCGTAGCCCAAATGCCCTTCCCCAGCCGGCTCAGAGTCTCCCTAAGGCAGCTTCCCAGCAGGGGACAAAACTCACCGTAGTACTGTGTGTTGCCCCAGCCAGTCACGGTGCAGATCTTGCCATCCACCAGGGCCTGCCCAGCAGCCGGGAGACACACGGGCTGGATGTACTCTGTGCAAGAGACCACACCGGTCTGGGCCCCTGCCAGTCTGCCCCGCCCAGGACAAACCTCGCTCCAGCTGCCCCAGCCCACCCTTCCCTCTGTTCTTTCACAATCACTACAACAGAAGTTGCCTCCTATAAACAACAAGGTCCCACTATATAGTGCTGGGAATTATATTCAATATCCTGTGATAAACCATAATGGACAAGAATGTGAAAAAGATATATGTGTGTGTGTGTGTGTGTGTGTGTAACTGAGTCACTTTACTGTATAGAGGAAATTAACACATCATTGTAAATCACTATACTTCAATACAGGGCTTTCCCAGTGGCTCAGTGGTAAAGAATTCACCTGCAATGCAGGAGACATGGGTTTGATCCCTAGGCTGGGAAGATCCCCTGGAGGAGGGCATGGCAACCCATTCTAGTATTCTTGTCTGGAAAACATGGACAGAGGAGCCTGGCAGCTACAGTTCATGGGGTCGCAAAGAGTTGAACACGACTGAAGAGACTTAGCATAGCATAGCATCCTTCAACACATTTTTAAAAATAAAAGAAGCTGCCTTCTATTGAGGACTCATTATGTACTCACGCCTTTCTGGGTGAATTCCCTTAATATCCCATCAGGTCAGAGAGGTAGGTGCTATTACCCCCACTTAAAGAGGGGAATATAAAGGCATGTCACTTGTCCAAACCCTTAGATTGAGTCAATGACAGAGCCAAATATGAACCCAGGTTGGCCCAATTTCTAAGCCTGTGTTCTTAACCATGGCCCATGGGGCTGCCCCCTACCCAGAGAGTGACTTTGAGAAATTTTAATTTATTTTTTCAATATTTTGGCCACTGTGGCATGTGGGATCTTAGTTCCCAGAACAGGGATCGAATCTGTGCCCCCTGCATTGAAAGTGCCTTCCATTTAACTACTGGACCACCAGGGAAGTCCCTTCTGTAAGAAATTTTACAAGGCACTATCCTGAGATTTTGGACTTCCACCTGTCAAAAAATCATCATAATAAACACACCAGTCTATCCTGTCCACAGTAAGAATGGCATCCCCGAGATATGATGTCCTTGTGCAGTGCACAACTCATGCAAGTTGTCCTGGCAGCCCTGCTAGCAAGCCTTGCTGGTGACTTCATCTGCCTGAGCTCAGAGCTCTCAGGTGCAAAATGGAAAGAATAATCATCCCCCCGCTCCAGAGGTGTATCATGAGAAATTGGTGAAGTGTTGAATAGCATGCCTGGCTAACGGGAAATGCTCACATAACTAGCAGTAGTAATAAACAACAACAGCAATGATTGTTAGTATTAACTGAATGCCGGCATTGCTCTAAGCAATTTGACTCAGATTAACATTTTGATAACCTTCAGGAGTCATTTAACAGATGAGGGAAACTGAGGTTTGGAGAGGTGAAGCCACATACCCAAGACTGCAGAGCTGCTGAGTATCTGACCCCAAAGCCCACACCACTCCCCTCAGACCCATGTCCAAATGCAGGCCACTCACATGTATTGTTTCCTTAAATGGAGAACTAGTATCATGGACCATTCAAAAGAAAATAACCATTAAAAATAAGGCAGACTTCCCTGGTGACCAGTGGCTAAGACTCTGAGCTCCCAACAGAGGGGCCCGGGGTTCAAACCCTGGTCAAGGAACTAGATCTCACAAGCCGAAACTAAAGATTCCCCATGCCACCATTAAGACCCAGCACAGACAAATAAATAAATAATTATTTTTTAATTACAAAAAAAAGACAATAATGCAAACTACAAAATAGTACTGACTTTCCTGGCAGCTCAACCAGGGGCTTATAGGCACAGATTCCAGAGCCATGCAACTTGGGCTCAAACCTTTGCCATTGCCAGTTGTGGGAATGTGGGGTATTATGTACCTTCTCTATGTCGGGAGCTTTACTCTTATGAAAAAAACAACAACAACAACACAGGATCATAAGAGAACCCACCCTCCCCAGGCTGCTGTGACAATGAAATGAGTGCATGCTTGCGACATGTTGAGGCCGGTGGCTGCATACAGGAGGCACGTGCAAGTGTTGGAGTTCATCCTATCATCACTATTATTGTATTCTTTCATTATTATTTTTTAAGATGTTTTAAAGAAAAAGAGACTCAGATGTATAGAACAGACTTGTGGACTCTGGGAGAAGGCGAGGGTGGGATGTTTCAAGAGAACAGCATTGAAACATGTATATTATCTAGGGTGAAACAGATCACCAGCCCAGGTTGGGTGCATGAGACAAGTGCTCGGGCCTGGTGCACTGGGAAGACCCAGAGGGATCGGGTGGAAAGGGAGGTGGGAGGGGGGACTGGGATGGGGAATACATGTAAATCCATGGCTAATTCATTTCAATGTATGACAAAAACTACTGTAATGATGTAAAGTAATTAGCCTCCAACTAATAAAAATAAACGGAAAAAAAAAAAAGATGTTTTAAAATCTTATTTATTTATTTAAGGCTGTGCTGAGTCTTTGTTGCTGTGAGGGCTTTTCACCACTTGTTGCGAACCGTAGTGGGGCTACTCTCTGGTTCTGGTGCACGGGCTTCTCATTGCAGTGACTTCTCTTGTGGAACAGAGGCCTACAGTGATCAGGCTTCAGTAGTTGTGGTACCTGGGCTTAGTTGCTCTGAATCAGGGAATGAACCTATGTCTCCCGCATTGGTAGGCAGATTCTTAACCAACAAACCACCAGGGAAGACCAAGACTTTTTAATTTTTTTTATATGGGCCATTTTAAAATTCTTTATTGAATTTGCTACAAAACTGCTTCTGTTTTATGTTCGAGTTTCTTTTCTTTGGCAGAGAGGGCATGTGGGTCTTAGCTCCCAACCAGGGATCAAACCCACACCCGCTGCATTGGAAGGTGCAGTTCTAACCACTGGACTGCCAGGGAAGTCTCTCTTTCTCATTATTATTATCATCATCATACTGATGCCTGCTGAAGGTTCATCATCATTGCTATGATAACTTCCTTATCATCATTATTATTATTACTATTACCACCACTCGGTGGCCTTCTGAAAGCTGAAGTCCACAGCCCACTCTTAATTCAAAAGGCATGTGTAGACGAGGTATGAAAGACATACTGACACCCAGGTGAGTCTTTCTCATTGACAAGGAAATGCTCTGGAGAACAACAAAGGGAATAAATAACTCCTAACTTTCTCATTCATTCATACACTTTTTTTTTTTCCATTTCTTTCTTTTATTTTGGTAATAGCTTTTTTGGAGATATAATTCCTGTACCACACAATTCACCCACTTAAAGTACACAAGTCAATGGGTTTGAGACAGGTTTTAGGTTCAGGGACTAGCCTGCCTGGCAATAAGGAAGGTACAACCACCACCACAATTGATTTCAGAACATTTTCATCACCACCTTTACCTCTGACCTCCCAATGTTTCTCTGCCATCCCCACGCCTGGGGAACCACTGATGTACTTTCTATCTCTGCAGGTTTACCTGTTCTGGACATTTCATAGAAATGGAATCATATAGAATGTGGCTGTGTGAGTCTGACTTCCTTCTGAGCATAGTGCTGTTCCAGGGTCATCCATTGTGTACCCTGGATCAGTCAGTACTTCATTCCTTTCTAACCTAATATGATTCCATTGTACGGGTCTAGCATGTTTTGTTTATCCACATGGCAGATGGTAGACATCTGGGTGGTTTCCATCTTTTGGCTGCTGTAAATAATGCTGCTTATGAACACCCATGCACTAGTTTTTGTGTAGCAATGTATCTTCATTTCTTTGGGGTACGTACCTAGGAGTGGAATTGCGGGGCCAAATGGTAACACTCAGACATGGTTTTCCAAAGTGGCTGCACTAATTGCCCCCACCTAATGAATGCACAGTGAGTGCCCCTGGAGATCATTTCCCTCATCACCATGAATTCTGTGCCCCAGCCCCTCCTCTGTCCTCCTGGCCCCTGGAGTCCCCAGGCCCAGGATCAGACCCAGACGTACCTGTGAGGGGCAGGGTGCCGGAGAGGTGGACCAGGGCGATGTCATTGCTATTCTCCTCGCTGTTGGGGTCTCGAAAGGGAAGATAGCCCCCATGGTAGATGACGGCCTGCACCCCCAGTTGCACACCGTGGGGTGAAGTCTGGGCCACAGCACCAGCAAACACTCGCCATCGTGACAGGACCCGGTTCCGCCTACCGGGGATAGGAGGGGAGGGTGGCCACCTGTCTAGGCACAGCCTCCTCCAGCGCACGGCTCCCCAGCCTCTCCCCTCAGTGCCCTGGGGGACACTCACTCAGGGAAGCAGTGGGCGGCTGTCAGCACCCAGTCCCTGGAGAGCACGGACCCCCCACAGAGATGCGCGCCATCGTAGCGAAGACTGACTTGCCACGGCCACCTGCCCAGGCTGGTGTCCTGGCCGCCCACAATGCGATCGACGGGCAGTTTTCGGTGGCCACAGTCTGTGGGGAGAGGGGCAGTCAGGGGCCAGCGGGAGGCCTGGGCCCCCTGCCCCGGGGGTCTGAGAGATCATGCCCCACTCTGGGGAGAGTGAGTGGTCACAATCTTAACCTGAGGGGTCTGAGGAACATGGCTCTGCTCTAGGGGGAAGGGGTCTGTCCGAGGAGACACAGCCCCATCTGTGGGGACCTAGGGGGACATGGCCCTACTTTGGGAGTCTGAGGGGATGGGGACCCCTCACACTGGGGGAGTCTGAGAGGACACAGCTCCATCCTTGGAGGATCTAAGAGCATAAGGCCTGTCTGGGGGTACCTGATGGGCCATGGCCCTGCCACGGTAGGGGCAGGGAGTCTCAGAAGAGGGCTCTGAGTTTTGGGGCCTCACCTTGGCAGCTGGTAGCCAGGAAACGGCCTCTGGGACAGTCGCTGTGGGGGGGATGGGGATGAAGACACAGAGACAAAAAAGAGGCCAATTAAGACGGAGGGAAGGAACCCGGGGGAACGTGGGTGCCCAGGGGTGGCGGGGCCCGCGGCGTGCGCCCCACCTGCCCGCCGCCCTCCTCACCACACGGAGAGGACCTCGAGCAACCTCCGGGCATGCGGCAGCCTCCCCTCGTCCACGCAGAAGAAGCCCGACGTGCCATTGGCGCCCGCCGTCCGCACGTCCAGCTCCAAGTAGTCCAACGCCCTGGGCAGGGCAGCGGTCAGACCTGCGCCCCCCGCCCTCCCAGCCCCCCACCAGGGGCGCCTGGGTACCTGAGGAAGCCCATCTCCTCGCAGCTGAGCCCCGCCACCCTGGCGTTGGAGCGCGAGGAGCAAAGCAGGCGCCACGTGCCCTCCGTCTGGTCGAACACCGTGAGCCGAGCATCCGCCGGGCCGACCTGCACTGCAGGGCAACAAGAGGACCGCCGGGGTCGCCTTCCTACCCGAGCCCTCCTGGCCTCTTCTCTGCCCGTGCCAGTCTAGTCCCGAGTCCTGGCAGGCCCGATCGGAGCACCCTGGGCTCAGCACATTTGTGACTGCCTCTGGAAGGGCTCAGGACTCAAGTTGGACCAAAGATTGGGGATCCTAAGACTCTGGCTGCTTCGCCATGGGGAAACCGGGCAAGGTGGGGGATTCCCGGGGGCATTCCCCCTGCCAGCGGGATTCCTAAACTGGTTGCCCAAGAGCTGGAAGCTAGATTTTTCAAAGTCCACCTTTGCCTGCAGGAGTGAGAATGTGGGGGCAGTGGTGATAAACCAATGTAGAGGAAAGCCAAGAGATTCTGAGAACATTTTTATAGCTCCTTAATGGAATCAGGCTTAAAGAACCTCCAGAATCATTACTTAAGTGAGTTAATAATTTCCCTTTTTGTTCAGCCAGTTTCTTGGTTTTCCCTTTTCTCTTTTGCACCCTGAAGATCCTTGACCAATACATCACATTGCCAAAATATCTGAATAGATTTCTTATAATCTTAAAAAAGAAGAGTTATCTTTTTTCTGCAGGACTTGTCAGAGCCTTGAATACATACTAAGTTGCAGGATAGTTATTCAAGAAGAGGATGCATTCATTCATTTGAATACCTTCATTCAAATGTATTCATTCATTTGTTCATTCGACAAGTGTTAACTATAGACACATACTCCATGCCTGGTCCTACATGGGGTGATGCTGGGGGACATAAAAATGACCAAGACATCTCTGGGCTGTACCCTTACCAAGTACAAAGTCCATCTGTAGGGGAGACAGACAGCAATAAAAAAAAAAAATCACCCAATCAAACACTGCATCACAAGCTGTGACAAGAGGCAGATACACAGCAAGGCTGCAGAGTGCTTATGGGGGATTCCTCCTCCTGGTTAATGCCCTGAGTGACGCTCCCCTCGGCCCCTCCCAGCCTGCTTCTCACACACGGCCAGAGGACCCTTGCCACAGCTAAGCCAGGTCACAGCCCTCCCTTAGGTGTGCTTTAGCAAGCACTCAGGCTGTGCCAGGCTCTATTTTGGGTAATGAACAAATCAGACAAAACCCCCAGCTGTGGGGAGCTCAAAGGCCAATGGGTGAGACGGATAACAAACAGGAGGGAGAAGTAAAATAGATGCTGTGTCACAAAAGAAGGGGCCTGGGAGACGAATCAAGCTGACAGAGAGGCAGGGGAGTGCTGACATGGGGACAGACAGGAGGCTGCACTTTCCTATAGGTGGGCAGGGAAGGCTGCACTGAGAAGGCGGTATGCAAGCAGAGATCTGAAGGAGGTGAGAAGACAGGTGAGGGAACAGAGAACTAGGCCAAGAGAATTGCAAGTGCCAAGATCCCAAGGAGGGGGGCGGGGTTGTTGAAGGAACAGCAAGGGGTCTGGGCAGAGTGAGCGAGGGGAGGAGGGGGCGGGAGACAAGACCAGACTGACTTTGACTTTTACCAGGAGTGAGGGCTGAGCCAGGAGGGCCTTGATCTGACTCAGGGGCTCACAGGCACCCTCTGGCTGTGTGTACGGAGCAGACTGTAGGGGGCAGGATGGGACCAAGGGAGACCAAGGAGGCGGCTGTGGATGGTCCAGGAGGGAGACGATGGAGGCGGGGCCAGGGTGGGGACAGTGGAGGAGCAGAGTTCAGATTCTGCACAGAATTTGTGGGTGGAGCCCACAGGGTCAGCTGTGATTGGATGTGGGTGGAAGGAAAAGAGGGGCCAAGGGCAATTTCAAGGTGTTCAGTCTGAGGCAGTAGAAGGATGAGCTGTCACTGATTGAGATGGGCAAGGTGGGGAGAAGTAGGTTTGGGGAAAGATCAGCTGTGAACCCCTTTTCTCTGGAGCCTCCTGCATGGCTGGTGTTCTAAGAGCACATTCTGGGACAGTGAATCTGGCCCAAACTCAACTTTGCATGCTTGGAGGAAGAACGTGGTGAGGCCACACCCAAGCTGAGCAGTCTTCCCACAGCCCCACAGACCTGGACAAAGGGAGGCAGAACTTCCGGGGAGAACCCTGTCCTGCTGAGGACAGAGAAAGGCAAAGAGAAGATTTGCATTCAGGCCTGAGTGACTCCAAACCCCAAGCTTTTAATGTTGCCTGTGATTGCAGTCATGAAACTAAAATACACCTGCTCTTTGGAAGAAAAAGCTGTAACAAACCTAGACAGCATATTAAAAAGAGAGACATCACTTTGCCAACAAAGATCCATATAGTCAAAGCTATGGTTTTTCCAGGAGCCATGTACAGATGTGAAAGTTGGACCATAAAGAAGGCTGAGTACCAAAGAAATGATGCTTTCAAACTATGGTGCCAGAGAAGACACTTGAGTGTCCCTTGGACATTAAGGAGATCAAACCAATCAATCATAAAGGAAGTCAACCCTGAAAAATCAATCCTGGATATTCATTGGAAGGATTGATGCTAAAGCTCCAATACTTTGGCTGCCTGATTCAAAGAGCTGACTCATTGGAAAAGACACTGATGCTGGGAAGGATTGAGGGCCGGAGGAGAAGGAGACAACAGAGGGTGAGATGGCTGGATGGCATCACTGACTCAATGGACATGAGTTTGAGCAAACCCCAGGAGTTGGTGAAGGACAGGGAAGCCTGGTGTGCTGCAGTCCATGGGGTCGCAAAGAGTCAGACAGGACTGAGCAACTGAACAACAGCAAGATAGCCTCTCAGGCAACTTTCCTCCTAAGGGTTAAACAAAAAAGGCACAGTAATAACACTGGTGAAGGAGTGGGTGGGACAAACGGAGAGAGCAGCACTGAAACATACACATTACTATATATAAAACCAGTAGCCAGTGGGAAGTGGCTGTGTAACACAAGGAGCTCAACCTGGTGCTCTGTGACGACCTAGAGGTGTGGGATGGGGTGGGGAGTGGGAGAGAGGTTCAAGAGGGAGGAGATATATAGCTGATTCATGTTCTTATACAGCAGAAACCAATATAACATCATAAAGCAAGTATCCTCCGATTAAAAATAAATTAAAAAAATAGTAACACTGACTACATTTCCTGGGGATGAGCTGACCCCATGCTGTGTGTCATGTCTGGGGGGTTCTATCCCACAATCAACCTGGGAGGGAGAGACCATCTCTATACCCATCTTACAGATGGGAAAACTGAGCCTTAGAGAGGACATACTTGCTCCTGAGAATATAGCTAAGAACCGGCAAAGTCAGGATTTGAATCCAGACCTGCCTACCTGCATACTCCCTGCTCCTTCTGTGGCTCTCATACGGACGTTATCAGCTCCTTTTCCCCAAATATACTCAGGTACAGCCTATACGAGGAGCTTCCTGGTTAACTGGACTTAATCATGGCTTCCTGTTCTGGGATGGGGCCGGGAATGTCTGATACCTCCACTGGGTGATACCTACCACCCCTTGAGTTCCCAGACCAAGACTTGGGGTTCAAAACACCAGCTGGGGGTGGGAGTGAATTCTTATTTTTAAATGACTTCTCAGTGCTCCAGAGATTGTGATTTCCAGAAAGTGTGAGGTTTTAGGGAAAAAAAAAATTATCATTTTATGGATGTATTTGGAGGGAGGAGCGGAAGGAGGAGGAGGAGGAGGGAGAAAGGAAGGAATATCAAATACCCCCTCCAAGTATTTTTAAAGCTATATTCTGTGCCACTGTTTCTCACTTTTAAACTCTTCTTTTTGTTTGTATTATTTTAAGCCATGCAGAAAGTACGTTCTGGGTCACCTGGTTTGCTTACCAAATTGTCTGATATATTTAGAGGTATGAAAAATCCCAGAAAAGTGAGGTGGGGATATCATTTCTGGGTTGTTTCTGTTTGTTCGTTTTGTAATTTCCCAACGTTTTTGAGAAACCCTAGTGTAATGGGAGGGCACAGTGCTGGCAGGGGCCAGAGTCAGGTCTGAAGTGTGGCCTCACTAGTTTTCAGCTGAAGCCCAGGACAAGTTAGTTCACCTCTGAGATTTGTTTTCATGCTTATTCATTAAACAAAGGTTTTCTGAGCACCTTCTATGCACCAGACACTGTCTATGGCAGTAAACAAAATGCCCCTGCCCTTCTGAAATTCACCAGGAGTAAATCATGAGCTGTGTGAAGAGGGTCATAGAGGGGGTGGTGGTGATATGCAGAGTGGTTGTGGGGGGCGGAGGGTATAGAGCCTGGGAGCAGAAAGGTCCAGCTTGGGAAAGTTAAAGCCTAAAGTTTGAGACACAGAAGTCCGTGTTAACCAAGTTGGCTGAGAGTCAAGCATTGCACGGATCATCACCTCCGCTAATTCTCACCACCCATTTCCAGATAAGGATGCTGAGAATCAGAGAGGGCAGGCCAGGTGGGAGCCTCAGCTCAGTCATAATGGTACAGGACCCAGAAACCTGCCTCTGGGTGTGAGCGTAAAGAGGAGGTGAGCAAAGACTGTGGTGCCAGCAGGGTCCTTTGAGGGTGAGAGAGAGGCCCGTGGGCCAGGGCTGAAGAGTGCTGGGAGCAAGCATGAGGTGAGGGTGGAGAAGGGCGGCACCCAAGGAGCCCTGGAGTCCGCCAAGGGTTGGGATTTTTAGCCCAGGGGCAGTAGTGAGCCACGAAGGCGCATCTGGTAGGTTCATGACCCCTCTGCGCTGCCATTTATTCAAAGTGCAAGTCAGTACAGTTCACTGGGCCTCAGTTTCCCCCATCTGCAAAATGGGAGTGATGGTAAATGGCCCCAACTTCACAGGGCTCTTGTGCAAGGCTGTAGCCAGGGCCTGGCATACGTTAGCCATCAACACAGCAACTCGCTGGGCTGTTTCTTGAGAAACAAGAGAGTATAGTAGTTCTACACAGCGCTGGGTCCAGGCTGTCCGCGTTCCCATCCCTGTGACCTGGGGCAAGTCACTTGGTCTCTCCACACCTCATTTCCCCATATTAAAATGGGCCATGGGAGGGATTTAATGAATTAATACCTGCAAAGCCCTGAGGCCTGTGCCTGGCACAGGTAAATGCTGGGCAAGTGTCAACTATGGTGATTGACCTTGATGGTGGCTTTCCTATCTAGATGTCCATTTCTGCTCTTAATGTGAGCTCAGTCCTTTATGGAACTAGATGAGCCTCGTGGAGTGAAAGAGTCCCGTCACCCAACGTCCCCTTTCTTCCTGCTGCCCTGGGCCACAGAATTGTAGCTTGGAGTTAGCATTTAGAAAGATTCATTCATTCATTCCATAATAAGTTTCTACATCTATTAGTTTCTTCACCTATGGAAAAACTTGAATGAACTTTTTGGCCACCCTGGTATTTATTCCTGCCTCCACATCTCTTCCAGTCAAGCCTAAGTGCTATTCCTGGTGCCATGATGTGCCCACGGTCTGTCCTCTCCAGTCCTCACTTTCTACATCTGTAAAATGGGAATAACAACAGCAGCTACCACCAAGAAGTGATAGAAAAATGTTGGCTGAATTCATACAGTACCTCTACCTCTCAAACATGTATTGACCATGTTTCACAATAAGAAACATGTTTACATTATGATGTAGCCCTGAACTTCCATTTCCTGGGGTGAACTATGGCATTGCTCCAAGCCTCAGTTTCCCCATCTGTAAAATGGAGGGAATAACAGTCCCACCTTCATAAAACCCAAACTTTTCTTACGGAAAGAGAGGCACTCTGATTTTTTCAATCGAATCTGTTTCATACTTTTTAAAATGTGGTTTTCAACTCACTGATTTCATGATGCACTTAATGGATAACATGTTTAGAGTCTGCAGAACACTGGGTTAGACCAGCCACATGGGTACATAAGCACCACCAGCATTCCTGCAGGCCTTCGGGCATTCATTTAAAAAATCGTTTCACTGAGTTCCCACCAGGCGCGAATTTCCTCCAGGGCTCCCCAGAGGGTCTCAGCCCGCTCTACTCACCTGGATACAGCGGCTCCTGATCACTCCTGAGTAGAACGGTCACTGCGGAGAAGGCAGAAGTGAGGGCAGGCAGGCTGGGGGCTGCCAGGGGCAGGGGAGGGTAGAGGGGCAGGGGTCTGTCCACTCTCACCAATGGCCCAGGACGCTGCCCCGATGCCTGTCAGGAGTAGGACGGTCCCCACAGTGAAAGCTGCCACCTTGGGTCCGGAGCAGCATGGCACAGTCCGGCCACCTGCAATAGACACGGTGCTGGGGCCACTTGCCAGGTCTGTCCTCACTGTGGCAAGGGACCAGCTCTGCCCTGCCCCCCAGGGCTAACTCAGCATGCCTGAGCCTGCCCTGCCCTGGGTCCAGTTTCTTGGGGCAAGCAGTTGGCAGGCCTGTCCTGCCCCTGCAGGGAGGATGACTAGGTGCCCAGCTCCCCAGGGCTTCCAGCTGGGAAGGGGTGTGGCTGGGACAGTTGCCACCCTCCCTGCCCACACTCCTGGCACTGAAGGGTCTTCTCCTTTCCAAAGACATTGCGCTTTGTATCTCCTTCTCAGACCTCTCACTTCTGCTAACTTTCCCAGAGGTTCTGGAGCCTCTTGGGGGCTGTGACCCCTGACCTTTGCCCTCTTGGCAACTCTCTTCCCTGCCGTTTGGCATTTCCTCACTGCCTCATTTCTCTCTGCTGTTCCAGACCCTCTGTCCCTGGGAACCCCCCAAAACCAGACCTCTCCCAAAGGACCCAGCTCCAATGTCAAATTGACCCCAGAGGTTGAGAACCTACATTTGGAAATTTGTCAGCCTCGCTTAAAAATATTGGCCTTGGGAATTCCCTGGAGGTCCAGTGGTTAGGACTTCATGCTTTCACATGTTGATCCTTAGTCAAGGAACTAAGATCCCACAAACCACATGGACCAGCCAAAATAAAAAATACATATATTGGCCTTACCCACAGCTATATATGGGACCTTGGGCAGGTACTATCACCTTTTTGAGCCTCAACTTCCTCATCTATTTAATGGGCATCCACATAGCACTCATCTCTAAAAGTAATACTTGAAGGTTCTTTCAAATAATTAAGAGCCATACTCTTATCAGATGCCTTATGCACCAAGCACTGCTCTGAATGCATTAAATTATTCAGTCCTTGTCTCAGTTATGATTCCTATTTTTCAGACAGGAGAAACTGAGGCTCACAGAAGTGGAGCCACCTGCTCAAGGTGACTCAGCCAGGAAGAGGTAGTACTGATTTGGCACTGGGATCCAGGCCTATAACCACAAAGCCTTGCCACCCTCTCAGTGCTATGATGGCTGGCGTAGAGCAAGTTCTCAATAAATGCTTTTTTTTTCATTTTTATTGGTCAATAAATGTTTTTAAATCATTATAGCTATGTGATCTTGGACAACTCCCTTTACCTCTCAGCCTCAGTTTTCTCATCAGTAAAATGGGGGTTTATTCACTCGTGGTCCTATGGAGCATCCACTGTGTACCTGGGGATTCTAGGCTCTGGGGACACATCCCTAAATAAGGCAGCTGAGATGCTGGCTCTCACAGAGCTCACATTTTCATGTGTGTAAAGTGAGGGGGAAACCAAAACAAGCAAACAAGTAAATGAACTTGATCATGTTCAGAACGTGGCCAAGTCTATGAAGAAAATGATATGAGTCGGGGGCAGCAGGTCTTCTGTCGGGTATTCAAGAAGGGCCTCCCCAAGAAGGGGCTTTTGAGCTGAGACCTGAGGGCTGAGGCCAGCCAAGCAAAGAGCTCTCACAGAAGGGCACAGTGGGCAGAGAAGAGTACAGGCCAGGGCCTCAAGGCCAGAACAAGCATGGTGGGTGAGAGGGCAAGAGAGGCCACTGATGTGGCCAGAACGGCATGAGCTTGCGGAAGGCAGTGGGGCCAAGGCTGGGACCAGCTGGGGAGGCCTGGCAGCCTGAAGAGAAGAGGAAACTTATTCCCAGTGCAACAGGGACCCTGGGGCTGAAAAGCCAATCCTTTGGCTAGGGATGGGGGGACCAAAGAGAAAAGGCCACTGAAAGCCTTTGTTGGGCCTGGCGTGCACCCGACTGCCCCTGGCATCTGCAGGACCTTCCAGCTCTGCCATCTGGGCCACGGCAGTGTGGCTGATGGGCATGGGGCCAGGCCAGCACCCAGAAAGGAGCAGGGAGTGGTTCAGGACCTTCCTGCAACGGCTATTGTCTGAGTGTCTTAAGAATTTGAGAACCCAGCCATTCTTGTCCAGGTGCTCCTCCCTCCAAAGAGGACCCAGTGGACCAGCCCAGCCCAGCCCCGGCTAGCTAACCCTTCCCTGTCTCCCTGAGGGGGCCTCTCAGGCCCCGTCCCCACCTTGCTGCTGCTGCTGCTTAGCCACTTCAGTCATGTCCGACTCTGTGCGACCCTGTGGACTGCAGCCCTCCAGGCTCCTCTGTCCATGGGATTCTCCAGGCAAGGATACTGGAGTGGTTTGACATTCCTTTCTCCAGGGGATCTTCCCAACCCAGGGATTGAACCCAGGTCTCCTGCACTGCAAGCAGATTCTTGCCCACTAAGCCACCACGGAGGACCCCGTCCCCACTTTGGTCCCCAACCATATCCCTGGTTTCAGTGGGAGGTCCTGGCTCCCCAAGCTATCAGGCTGGTCCTAGGTCCTTTGTTTTCAGACAGGCCTGCGGAGCTTTGGGCCACTCAGAGCCCAGGCTAGAGGCACTGGCATGACTGCTGGGGCAGGAAGCACGGCCACCCTGTGTCGCTTAAGGTGAGAGGAGAAACTTGCTCCATGCCCAGTGATTCAGGAGTCTTTGGACAACCCCCAAACAGGTGCCTCTGGTGGGACAGGAAGCGTCCTCACCCAAGTTCACCAGCATGAGAGGCATCCTGACTGCATATCTTTGCCAAGGCAGGAAGTGTCTCACTGCATGAGAGTCAGCATCCTGGTGTGATTCGTCAGGGCGATGGAGCCCGGCAAGCCCGGACCCCCGAGCGTCCTCCTGAGGCTCTGCTCTCTGTTCCTTCAGGGGTGCTAGGCTGCAGGGCAGTTCCTCTGCCTCCACCATTCGGCTGCAAAACCCTCCCAAGTGATGGCCTTAATTCCTTGTCTCTGAAACTCCACTCAGGCAGCTCCGTGTCTGTCCTCGTGTACTCAACTCCAACTTCCCGAACAAAATTCTCTCCCCATCTGATTTCTGGGACACCACCCTTGTCCGATTTGCTTGCTACTTCTCGATCTCCTGACCCTCCACACGCTCTCTGAAATCTGGGGTTCACAGGGCGGCCCCGGCCTCCTTCCCCTCATGCCTCCCCACTGCACCCCCACAGACTGGGTTGCTTTTCTGTCCCCAGCTCTGGACTCTCCTTAGTCCTAGGTCAAGAGTCCTGCAGCCTCTTAGATGCCTCCCCCTGGAATCACCACACTCCATCACACCTCCCAGGTTCCATACTGGCCTCCACGTCTCCCTAAGTCCCCAGGTCCCGTCTCGGAGGTCTCAGCCGCAGGTCTGTCCCTACGTGCAGAGCACCTCCCTCTGCCCACGGCTCAGGCCTTCTGAGTGTCTCCTGCCCACTCTCCTTCCCTGCCCCCACGCCCTCCAACCCCTGGGTTCAATCTCCCCTTCTGGTCCAGCCTCCACATGGAAACCTGGGGAATCTTCCCAAACGGCAAGTCCAACTTGTCCCTAGAACCCCCCATGACTCCCCAGTGCCCCTCAGGACAGAGTCTAAGGCCCTCAGCCCAAGGTGCCAGGCCCTCTAGGATGTAAGCACAGTGATCAGAGATTTGGGGGTTCAACATGTTTTCCCCAATTCCCAGACAGCCATAACGGTCCTTACCAGACAATTGATAGAGCTTCCAAAAAGCAACCAAAATGACAGGACTTATAACACGACATAACATAACTTATAACATGACTTATAATGACAAGGTAAAAAAAAGAAAAGAAAGAAACGAAGAATAACCACCAGCGCCATCTTGTGGAGAGAGCCAGCACTGCCCGGGCACGGGCCAGCTTCTCACCAGAGTCCTAACAGAACTTGGTCCAGCCTGCATGTCTCATCACCCTCCCAGCTCCATTTCCAACGTTACCTCCAGAAATCCCGAATTATCTACATGCCACCATACACCTGGCAGATTGTCACCCCCAGCTGTTAGCCTTGCTCTTCTCTCTGCCTGGCACAACTACTTACTCCTGCCTCATTCTGAGTGTCAACTCGGATATTACCTCCTCTGATTCAGAGTCCCCAGGGAGCACCAAGAACCTCACCTTGGGCGCACTTCACCAGCAGAATGGCAACACAAATGTTAGCATAACTGCAGCTCTCAGAAGACACACCAACCCTAGGCCTGTCCTAACCCCATCTTGCCAGTGTGTGTGTCAGTGACAAGTTGCTTCAGTTGTGTCTGACTTTGTGACCCTATGGACTGCAGTCTGCCAGGCTCCTCTGTCCATGGGATTCTCCAGGCAAGAATACTGGAGAGGGTTGCCATGCCCTCCTCCAGGGGATCTTCCCCACCCAGGGATCAAATCTGCGTCTCTGCTGTCTCCTGCATTGGCAGGCATTACCACTAGCGCCACCTAGGGAGCCCAACCCCATCTTGCAGTTGCCTGAAATCCTTGAATGAAGGAACGTATCATTATCACCATCCCTGATGCACACAGGAGGAAAGGAAGCCCAGAGAGGTTCAGCCACCCAGCCAGGTAACCCAGCAAGTAAGCCCAGGCTTGCCATGACGGTAGGACTCCCCTCCAAGACTAGGACTGAGCTGCCTGGAGATGTACTGAAGCCCATTGTGTCTTGGTTGTCTGTCCTCAGGCCAGTCCCTGGCCATCCTTCTGGACACACTCCACTTTTCTTCTCTGGTTCATTCACCCATAGGCTCCAGGCCTGGTGAGTCCCTTCAGTGGGCTCCAGGAAGGAAGGTTTCCAAAGGCGCAAGGCTCTGCCACGCACCTGCTCAACAAGGGAGCAGAGCCTTCTCCCAGGCCACTGAGAGCCTGGTGGCTCAGGAGGTAAAGAATCTACCCACAATGCAGGAAACCCAGGTTCAATCCCTGCATTGGGAAGATCCCCTGAAGAAGGGAATGACTATCCACTCCAGTATTCTTTCCTGGAAAATTCCATGGACAGAGGAGCCTGGTGGGCTACAGTCCCAGGGATTGGAAAGAGTCGGACACAAATAACACTCCACAGTTGGACGGTTTGGGCTCTGATTTTCTAGCTGTGCTGAGATGCAAGGAGGCCAGTGATCCATATCCATCATTTCAGCCAACACACTCAGTGCTTCCTGCGTATCATGGCATTTAAATCCTCACACCACCCTATAAGATGGACATTAGTACTGCTTTTTTTATTTTTATTTTTAGCAGAGGAAGAAATGAGGCCCAGAGAGGGTGAGCCACTTGCCCAGGGCCTAACAACTAGAAAGTGATACTGCCTGAGACCGAAACCAACTAGCCTGGTTCCAGGAAGAAGAGAGAGTCAGCCCCCGCTGGGGAGGGCAGGAAGAAAGAGCCACCCCTAACTGGTCTCCTCCAGCTGGCTCTCAAGTGTGGAGGAGGTTAAGAGGGAGCCAAGAGGTCTGGAGCCCCTGCCAGGGGCTTCCATAAGCCCTTGAGTGTCTGTCAAACCGGAGGCGTGGTTTCTCCCCACCATCCCTAGAGTGGTTTCTCTGTTGTTTCTCTTCTCTTCATCCATCCAGACTGGGTCCAAAGTCCTCCCTCTGCTCTGCCCACAGTGTGAGGAGGTGGGAGGAACGTCTGGAATCGGTGGGGGTCTTGGGCCCCAGGTCTCCAAGTTGGCCGACCTCTGCCATGACAGCTCTGGGGCACCCCGCATCTGGGGCACCCCACGTGTTTTATGAACGAAGTCCCAGGCTGGTGCCTTGTGCGTGTTCTGTGCTCCCAACAACCTCATGAAGGTAGGTAGGTAGCATTAGAACCCACGCTTGACCCAGGGGGAAATGAAGCCCAGAGGAACGACGACACTCCCATCAGATCGCACAGTAAAATCAGTGGCAGAGGAAGATTCGGAGGCAGCCCGGTGGGGCTTCCCTGTTGGCTCAGTGGTAAAGGGTCCCCCTGTCAACGCAGGAGACTCGGGTTCCATGTGGGATCCCACATACCTCAGAGCAACCAAGCCTGTGTACCAGAACCATGGAGCCTGTGCCCTAGAGCCCGGGAAGCGCAAGTAATGAGCCCATGTGCCCCAGCTACTGAAGCCTGAGTGCCCTAGAGCCCGTGCTCTGCAACAAGAGAAGCTGCCGCAATGAGAAGCCCTCGCACCGCAACTAGAGAAAAGCATGCATGCAGCAACGAAGACCCAACACAGTCAGAAATAAATACATGAATAAATAAAATTATATATATATCTATTTTAAAGGCAGGCCTCTGCTTTCGATTCGAGTCTATGTCCTGAACGATGATAGCTAGTTTTCCCACCTTGACCCCAAGTAAAGGACAGGTCCAGAGGTAGCTGAGAAATCACTGGGGGGTGAGGGGAAACTGAGGCAGGGAGCCAGGAAGGTCATATGGGGTGGCCGGGAGGCAGGTGATATTGCAGCCCCACAGAGAATTTGGTTAATAGTTAATTAGGTGGAGGAGGCTTCAGAAGGGGGTGGGGGTGGGCCCACGACGGGGTGCCAGAGAGAGGGGGCTCCAAGGGAGCGGAGGGCTGGGAAGACAGCACAGAGGGAGGGGAGGGGCGCCAGGCAGAGCTCAGGTCTCAGGGACAGGGGGACTCACCCTCCTTCTCCGCCATGTCACGGCCTCTAGTTAATGATTCCCCGGCTGACCTCTGGGGCCGGGGCGGGACCTGTGGGGAGATGAACAAGGGGGAGGCAGGGCCTGGGGGAGCCCAGCCCAGCCCCTGTGCCCCCAGTCCCAGGCGCCCATCCAGGGAGGCTGAGGGACTGGGCCCTGGCCAGAGCACGCCGTGATCACGGACACAGACTGGGCTGGGTTCAAGGATGGGGTCAGTGTGTGACCAGCAGCTAGGGGGATGATGGGATTTATAGCGCCGGGGGACCCTGGGCCTGGGCCGGGGTGGAGAGCAGACTGAGGGGTCTGAATTCCCGGGTCTGAGGGCGGAGAGCTGGAGGCCTCAACTCCTGGGTCCTGGGAAAAAAGAGGTTTGGGGACCAGGACTGCTTCTTATGAGGGAGGGGCGGTGCAGGGGCCTGGACTCCTGGGTTGGAGGGAGGAGGAGCCCGGGACCCGATCTTGGGAGTCTGAAGAAGCGGGGGCTAGAACTCTGAGGTCCTTGGAGAGAAGTCCGACTGGCCCCTCCCAGAGCACCTCTGTTGGGAAGTGGGCATTAGGGTGGGTAGGGGTGAGGGGACCCATGTCCGGGGGACGGGAACCTGAGGACCCTGGTCCTTACCCTGGGGTCCGGCAGGTGGGGGCGGAGCTGAGAGATGGTGCCGGTTTAGGGTCAGTCTCCAGGCCTGGGCAGGAGCATGGTGGCCCCGCAGCGGCGCAGCGGGCCCGGAGGCAGAGGCAGCGGCAGCGCGAGGGGCCTGCTAGGCCTGGCTGCCTCACCTGAGGAGGAGGGGGCGGGGGAAGGGGCGGGGAGGGGCTGGGCCAAGGGATTGGCAGCGCTGGAGGCCACCTGGCTGGTGGGACAGGGTTTGCAAGGGGCTGGACCGGGGCGCCCAGCAACCTGCCTCCAGCCTGGATGGGCCCCAGGTGTGCTGGTGCGAGGGTATGTGGAGTTGGGACAGATCTGGCCTGAGGGCCCGGAGTCTGGGGAGACAGGCCAGGCTGGGGGGTGCTGACAGGGCCCCCAGGAAGGAGGTGTTAAATGGAGAGGCACAGATGGAGGGCCCCAGCTGCCCCAAGGCCGCCCTGCCCCTGGTCTCCTCTGCCCCCTACCCAGCCCCCTGCCCACCGCTGCGCCTGCCATTTCCTCCACCCGTTGTCCAGCTCCTGAACAAGGCCTTCCCAGTTCCAGGCCGGGCCTCAGCCCAGCCCTGGCCCCAGACCCCTCCTGCACCCCAACTCCTGCCCCAGCCTCTGCCCCTTCGTGTCCCCGCTCCCGACGCGGGCCCCCACCTCTATTCACCCTCCCCCCGCCCCCTCCCCCCCAGCTGCTTTCCTACAAGTCACGGGGGTTGGTTTGCTTTGGCAGCCTCTCTGCCGCCTGCAGCGATGACCTCTGGAGCTGGGAAGTCCCAGACAAGGGGGATGGGGACTTGGCCAGGAAAAGGCAGCATGGAATGCTGGGGCCCAGGCCAGGCGGCCGGAAGTGTCCACAGGCAGATACGCACTGTCCCGCCAGCAGCCCAGGAGTCATCGACGTCAGACCCCAGGGCCAGATAAACATCCAGACACATAGGGTCACTACCTGTGGACAGCCGCCACCCAGACTCAGTCAGGCCACAGCTGCTCACCCCAGACAGGCCGCCCCTACGCCATCAGACCCAGCCGCTGGCCCCACGCACCCCTGCACCCAGAGCCACGGCCTCACCTGGGGGACCGGCTGGTGCAGGAACCCCAGTGCCTCCTCCTCCCCCTCCATTCCTTCCCTGATCACCCCCCACCTCCACTACCAATCCGCTTCCTCCCCTCCAGGCTGGCTCCCTCGAAACTCCTGGTCCCCGCTGAACTAGTCACTCATTGAACCCCAACAGTAATCAAGTATCAAGCGGCTGCACCCGCTGAGACCTCAAGCAGGTGTTGAGCCTGAGATGTGGCCCCCATCTGTCCTTCTCCATCCTTCCCCGTCCTCCCCTCCCCCCCGAACACGTGCACAGAGGCCCTGTCACCTGCCCAGGAGGGCAGGTCCCTGGAAACACCAGGGGGCTCTCTCGGATTTGGAGGGGGTGTAGAAGGTGACTGGGCTCACGAGAGAGACTGTGAATCAAGTCCAAGAATCTTTATTTCATGAACAAAACTACTTGTGTAAAGAGAGACGAGGCTGAATGGGCCCTTTTCTAAGTGGCCACAATCCAAGGCTGGTGAGAGAGGGTGGGTTGGGCTGGGGTGAGAGTGCATTGCAGGGAGAGGAGACCCCAGGTCCAGCCGGAGGAAGCAGGAAGGGAAATGGCATCAGGGGTCAGAGGGAAGTGGGGGGGTCCAGGAACCCCCTGCCCCGAACCGTTCCAGCCATCACAAGCCCCACTGGGCGGGGAGGGGGCAGGGAGGCGCTGGGCCCCCGTTAGTGCATGTCCGAAGCGGCCAGTGTGTGCAAATCAGCAAGAAGGAGGGGTGCGGAGCCGCTGCCCCCACCTCACCGCACCCCCCCCCAAAACAGGCAGCAGAAGCAGGGGTAGGGGCAGCGGCAGTATTGCTTTAGCCATCATGCATGGCGTGGGTGGGTGATGGGGCAGGAGGAAGAAGGCTGGATTAGGGGTGTGAGCCGAGCCCCCTGCCCCCTCCCACCCTGGAGGCTCCGTTGGCAGGACTCTGAGGCTTGTGGAGGCCCAGGAATGGCCAACCCCCATCGGGGGCAGGCCTCGCCTGGATGTTCCCCCATTAGGACTGGCTCTTCCTTGAGGCGGAGCCCAGGGCCTGAAAGGGGAGAGACAGGGCATGAGGAGCCTAACGGCTGACAGCTGGCACCTCCCAGGCCCTCCAGCCCCTGCCCACCTGCCTGCCCACCTTACCGGGGCTATTCGGCCACCTGGACACCAGTACAGTTCTCTTTGCTTTCTGAGGTGATGGCCAAGTATTCCGAGCTGTGGGGGCAAAAGCCAGGTGTCCAGTGACCCCATCGTCAGTCTGGCCCACTCCCCCCGTGGAGACTGATGAGGGTTGAGGTCTCTGTCCCCAGGGGCACAGGGGTCAGAGAGAAGAGAAGGATGCAGGCTGGATCCTAGGGATCCAAGAGGAGTCCAAGCTGGAGGTCTGGAGTCCTGAATGTGAGGGAGGAGGGGTTCTGGGGGCCTAGACTCCGGGGTCCTGGGGTGAAAGGGGTTGAGGGCCTGGAGTCTGAGTCTGAGGGAGCAGCGAGTGGGGGGCTCAGACTCCTGGGTCCTGGCAGATAAAAAGGGCTAGGGCCTGGAGTCGTGTATCTCTGGGGCAGAGGATGCCAGGCCTGAGCTCGGGATCCTAACAGAATTGGGGGCTAAGAGTCTGAGCAGGGAGGGGAGGGGACCCAATCGCAGCCTCATCCCATCTCTGGCACCAAACGGTCCCCTCTGGGGAGGACCTGGCAGACGGTGTCTGGGTCACTTCCCCACCCGCCTCCCCACTCAGCCCATGCTCCCCTCAGGGAAGCACTAGGCGTCCTGGGCCGTTTCCCCCTCCTCAGGACCCCACTCACGCATTCTCTTGTGCGGCAGCCTCCGTGGCAGCGGCGATCTTCTTGTAGCAGTAAACCATCTCTGCCACGAGCCAGATGGTCAACACCACGATGAGCACGTACATCATGATCTCGGACACGATGGACGCCATGTCTCTGTTGGCTGCAGGGACCAGGCAGGGTCAGGTGGCAGCCTGAGAGTATCCTGAGTTTGTTGTGCAAGCCTGGGCAAGTGGCTTGACCTCCTTGGGCCTTGTCTGCAAGTGAGGCCATGCTCTCCCCCTAGAGGCATCATTGTTCCTGTGGTTCTTAATAATTGGCCTTGGAAGGGCTGTCGGATTGCCCTTAACCTGTCTCCCTGTGTAACTCGAGGGCGCCTCCGTGTCATACAGGTGATTGTAGGTGCCCCAGAGCTGAAGTTCTGAAATGAGAAGGCTCAGGTTCAAATCCTGGCTCTGCCACTGGCCAGCTGTGTGAACTTGGGCAAGTGACTCAGCCTCTCTGGGTCTCAATTTCCCCACCTGTAAAAAGTTGATAATCACAGTATCTCCTTCATGGGAGTGTTGTGAGAATTAAATAAACCTTTAAAACCCTTAGAATAGTGCTTGCTATATAGAGAGCACTTGATACATGTTTACTATTATTAATATCATCACTGTTACTATTGGGGCAATACAGCACAGTAGTTAATAGCAGAGCTCTGGGGCCAGACTGTCAGGGGCCAAATCTTATCTCTGCCTCTGCTGTGTGACCACAGGCAAGTGACTCCACCTCTCTGGGCCTCTATTCCCCTGCCGTAAAATAAGGATGATATATATTCATGCCTTCTCACAGGGTTGCTGGGAAGAGAAAATGAGTTAACATCTGTAACACGCGTGGATGTGCCCACAGTCAGCACTGCCTAAGCGCTGGCTATTCACTGATGTTTTCCGGAAGCCCTCTCTCCTTTCCATAGCCCTGGCTCTTGCCAATGTCAGCTTCCTTTCATGGAGCCTAAATTTAAACTGTAAAAGGGGCATGCTCAGCCGGGGGACCAGAACGCAAGTCCACAGTGACATCCTCGGCTGGATTCCGCAGGTGTCCACCCCGCATCCCCAGCCCCTCCTCCTGGATGGCCGGGACCTCGTTTTCCCCTCTGTTCCCACATGGTCTTCCTCCCCTAGGTGTGAGCTCAGTTGCTTAGTCATGTCCGACTCTTTGCAACCCTATGAACTGTAGCTCGCCAGGCTCCTCTGTCCATGGGATTTTCCAGACAAGAACACTGGAGCGGGTTGCCATTTCCTCCTCCCCTGGGAGTGGGCGCTTTCTGCTGCTCCACCAGAGGCAGATGGTACCAAGGCTTTCTGGGCCACAGGGAGGGGGGTGCGGGGCCTGATGCCTCTCCCCTGCTTCCCGGCAGGAGGAGCTGGGGACAGGACTCCACACCTCACCCGTTTGTTCACTTGTTCTTTCACTCCAGAGATACCCTGAATGCGTCTCCTGCGGTGAAAGCATGCTCTCGCCTGGGCTCTCTCCTGAGTTTTTTATGTGAGCATCTCCAGGATTCTGAAACAACCCCAAGGATACAGAGTCCAGGCTTCCCATGTCAGCTGACCTCCAGAAGCACAGAGTTGAATACATGTTGGATAAAGCTCAGTGGTAAAGAATCTGCCTCTCAGTGCAGGAGACGCAAGAGATGTGGGTCCAATCCCTGGGTTGGGAAGATTCCCTGGAGCAGGAAATGGCAACCCACTCTAGTATCCTTGTCTGGGAAATTCCACGGACAGAAGAGCCTGGTGGTTGGGCTACAGTCCATGGGGTCACAAAGAGTCAGACATGACTTGAACACACACACAAGCAAGCATGGATAAAACTCAGTCATCAGAATTCTCACCCCTGCTCCTGGAACTCACCAACCAAACGGATTTAAGTAAACTGGTATCCTGCTCTCCCAATCAGAGTAGGACGTTGACAGGCACGGCTCTCGGGCCATCTGCAGGACAAGTTTACTGAGGACTTCCCTGGTGGCTTAGACGGTAAAGAATCTGCCTGCAATGCGGAGACTTGGGCTCAATCCCTGGGTCGGAAGATCCCCTGTGAATGGCCTGTGAATGGCTACCCACTCCAGTATTCTTGTCTGGAGAATTTCACAAACAGGGGAGCATAGCGGGCTACAGTCCATGGTGTCGCAGTCAGACACGACTGAGCAACTTTCATTTCACTTCAGAGAGGAGAAAGTGCCAGGCAAGGATGCACAGCCAGGATTGCACTCAGAGCCCGGAGTCAACTCCAAGTGGGACTGACTGCAGGGTCCGAGCTCTTATCTACTCCTAAAAACTCCTGCA